AAGCAGGCGTGAAACACACCTAAAGACAGCAGGGAAGAAGCATCCTGCTGCACTACCGCTTACACAGGACCCGCACGGACCGGGCTCGGAGGTGGGATCAACCAAGCCTGCCCCGACCTCTGCCAAAGTCTAACAGTCCCATCTGCTTCATCAGAGCCAAGAAACCCCAGTTCCTCAGGGCTGCGCTGGTTTTTATGAAAGGGCATGAAGGCCAAAAGAGTGAGAGCAGAAACCCCATGGCTCCATTCACTAAGACAAAAAGGTGAAGAGAGGCTGGGCTGTCCTCGTTTTGGGCCACAAATCTTCAAGCCAAGGCAGCCAGAGAGGAGCAAACTCCACTCTCAGCCACACAAGCGTGCTGTTTATTAAGGACAGGGGAACTGGCATTGCCCCTCTGGGGGCCAGGGTTCGGTGTACTATTAACTTTCTTTTTGTATTTTTCTTTTTGTATTGCTTGGTATTTTTGGGTACAGGCAGGGAAACTGCACTGCGGAAAAAGCACTCTAATTAACAAAAATCCTCTGATTAAACTTTTTAACACCTATAATTATGGAGGTCTTTTGCTGGTTCTCTTGAACCTGTGCATTTTTCTCTGTTAGCCTGAAAGTGTAAAATGGTAATTTTTCCAACTAGAAATACCTTCAGGGAGCCGTGAAGCTAAACCCCAATTATATACCTACCTACCACAAATAAATCTGTTTTGTCCAAAAAGGGAAAAAAGAAGCATTACAGAAATGCTGAGGCTAAATCCAGCATGGCAATTATTTCAGTTCTGAAATAGGCTTAGTGTAATCAAAGCAGCATTTGTAAGGATTTATTTCAAAATTAAACTGAACACCATCTAGTGAAATAGGACATAGGCAGGCAAAAAAATTTTTAAAAAATAAATAGAAGAAGGGTAAAGAAGGGTAAACCGGTAACTCCCATACAGCTCAGCTTTGATAACCTGATGAAGAACAGAGACCTTTCCGAAGAAAATACTTCATGGGGAATATTTCACCTCTCATTTCCCCTTCTGCAGTTTTAACATCACAGCAACTGCTGTAGCCCCAGGAAGGAGGAATGGAGAAAGATGGTAAATATGTTTCCCGTTGCTCTTCTCTAAAAGCTCCTCTTGCTGGGAACCACGATGCTACGCAGCCCCAGCTTGGCGGCAGAGCCTGTCACTACAGCACGGCGGCTCCCAGAGGCTTCGAGGCTGCTGGAAGGCCATACAAAATAGTAAGGCAGATGAAGCTGGAGCCAAATTGTTTGGTTTGTGGTGTCTCTCACTACAGCAGAAGTGCTGGAGGCACCTGCCCGCTGCCGGCCGTGGTGCCCGGCTCTTGCTGCGCTGCCAAGTCCCAGGCTCCTTCCCTGTTGGCTTCCTACTGTGGTCAGGAGGCACCAGGTCTCCTTATGCTTAAAGAAAAATTACTGCCACCCCAAAAATGGGAATTTTTGAGGTTTTCACTTCCCCTTAAAAAAGGGAACACAAGATCATTATTTTTTTTTCCAACTGTGGTTGTAGATGGATACCTCACTTTTACACAGATGAAAGAGCAAGTTAGTAATTTCTCCTCACAAGGAACTTCCTCTTACCCAGTGGTTGTTGGTATGTCGGTCACAGCACTTTCAAATTTACTAGTGGATCCAAATGCGTACCTCATTTCCACTCACACACTAAATACTTTATTTTGCAGTGGGGGGAAAGAAAGAAAGAAAAAAAAAAAAGCTGAGAAAAGGGGCACTTGTTTACCATCATCCTGGTACTATACTCGTAAGATTTCCTGGAAACATGAAAAGCTGCTTCAAACAAGCAAGTCACACTGAACCATATTCATACGGCTCCTGATTATCTTAAAAAAAGTATGACCTCCCCTGGGACAGGCCACCCACAGGAACCTGGCCACCCGTGCTAACAGTGGCAGGGACATAACTGGGCTCCATCTCTGTAGCGAGAGAACTGCTCATGTGGGCAGGGCTATGGAAAGTCATCTCCACAAGTGAGCAGCTTTTAAGACGGCTTCCATTACAGCTCCTCTGAGCTGCACAGCCCCTCTCTCCTTTGCTTTTTTTAAACACTGGAGTGCAATAGTCTCTTTATAAATGAAAAAGATGCTTTGCTTTCATTTTCAGCACAGTTTCTTCCATTTTTTTTTTAATGTAACAATATACATCTTTTTTTACTTCTAACCAAAAGTTTTATTTTCATAAAATTTAAAGCAGTATCTTTTTAAACAATCAAAATAATAATAATAACAATAATAATAATAAAATAATAAGTGGCTTTCACGGAAAGCAACATGCATAATCTTAAACCAGTTACTAAAACTGTATTTCCCCGTGTAAACAAGGGCAGACAAGCCTCTTCTGATCCTGTATGTGAAAATTCAGCTGATTTTTGCAAAGGATAGTCTCCTTAAAAGCTGTCGAACAAACTTACAGCTTCTCTTAAGCATGACTGCATTCAAGGTACTTATTAGCGAAGACTTTTGATACCTCTTCAGGACTTCTGCCTGCATGAGAAAGTCCATTTCCATGGGCCTTCACAAGAGCTGCTTCTGGCCGAGTCAGAGTTTAATGTCCTGCGATTCTGACATTTTGGCAAGTGTTTTCTTGACCCGCAGGGCTGTGAGCCGGGAGGCGGGGTTGTGAGCCCAGCACTCCATCATCAGCTTCCCCATCTGCCGTAGGCACTGCACAGAGAAATGGGAGAGAAAGTCCCACCTGGGTCAGTGCAAGAGGAGACTGCAGTTGGTGGCAATGCCGAAAAACTGAAGAGCAAAGGTCTTTTCTAAGGGCAGCCAGAAAAAAAGACAACATGCTGGCTGATACCACTTTTCAAGAGCTTTTGTTTTCTGTATATTAAGGAGATTTCTCCAAACATGGCAATTACTCATATAATTTATGACAAGTTATAGTCTAGACTTGGCTGTACACTCCACAAAAGCACTTTTCTTATTTCCCCTTCCCCAAACACGTGCAGCCTGACCTGCACAAGTGTGGCTCTGTACAGCAAGCCCTTTGCTGTACAAATTCAGTGGAATTTGTTTTCCTCAGCCAGTGACCACCCCCCAGAGTACAGCCCAGCACAAGCACGCACCCACGGCTCTTGCCCAGCCACCCCCGCTGGAAAGCCACCTGCGAGCACCCGGCTTGGCTCTGCCCTGTCCCGCTCCATCCCCTGCTCGCTCCCGAGACATAGCCAGACCTTCCCTCAGCTCCCAGCAACAACTCTCTTACTGACAACACCTCATCATTGCGTTTGCCATCCTGGAAAAGGGGCTTACATCCCTGCTCTGTGTCTACCACCTTCTTCCAACCATAAAGCACCATGTAAACCACCAGAGCCAGGTGATGCCCTGTCAGCCTACAGATTTACGCTGCCTGAAGATTTGCTTGCTACAATAGGAAAAAAGAAGTTTTCCATCTCAACCAACTTGCTCCCTGCTTTCATGAAGCTCCTGGCCCAGCAGCAGTGCAGACCCTTAAAGGCATTAAGCATTAACACCACCAGCAGTGCCCAGACCAACCTAATACATTTCAGATTAATAAATCTGGATTTTTATAAATGTGTTTTGGTGTTACACAAAGTTTTATGCACTAACAAGTTTGCCTTTCGTTGCTAGAATGCCTGAAGTGGGATTACTGATGACACTAACCAATTGATCAAGAACAGTTATTTCAATGAGCCTCCCCAATCCTCGATACACGTGGCAGCAGACCAAAGACACACTGCATGCCACCACACAAAAGCCCTTCCCGGGATCAATACTAACAGCACTTTTGCCTTTCATTGCTAGAATGCCTGAAGTGGGATTACTGATGACACTAACCTAATCAAGAACAGTTATTTCAATGAGCCTCCCCAATCCTCGATACACGTGGCAGCAGACCAAAGACACACTGCGTGCCACCACACAAAAGCCCTTCCCGGGATCAATACTAACAGCACTTCCTCCAGTGTTTCCACTGCTGGTCTGAAAGCTCAGAGAGATTTGGCTAGGGAGAAGGTGAGGCAGGTGAGTCTCAGTTAGATCTTCCCACGCTGGCTGCTGCACAAGTCCTCGAGCCTTCCAGGGAGGTTGTTTTATTTTTCCCTCACATTCCCAAATTTCCTACAGCTCACGCCACCTAAATCTTTCATCTCCCTGCAGAATATTCATCTACACACTGCTATTCCCAAATGGCAGCTGTCTTCTGTGACTGTGGAAAACTTTACCGCATTGAGCTGTACCAATTAACATGATTAATGACCCCTCTTCCATAGCATCCTGAGAGCAGTCGGCAGGTTTGCCTGCGGTACCTCAACTGTTCGTCTCCAATCCCATGAGCACAACTTTGCTTTGTTACAGATGCTCAGCAGGGAGAGTTCAGATTCTCCCTCAGCCCTCTCACCTCCTCGTTTTATTCTGGAAAGCATTTTCTGGATCCCACATCTCCTCTGAAAGGCCACATCTGTAGCCTTCTTTGCTAAAATGTGAAGAGGTACATGAGCACTGTTTTCTGTAAGATGTAAAGAGGTGAACAATCGGTGCTCCTCGGTGCAGCCCAGCTACTGTGGTCAGTACTATCGCCTATCAATACCGTAAGAGTGAAACTTAATATCTTGTGCTCATGTTAGCGTAAAATCATGGTAAAATCGTGTTTCCAAGCCTGCACACCTGTGATCACAGAAAAGCTGTATGCTCATTTCATTTCAAAGAGACAGGAGGTATCTCCTTCTTTAAAAAAAAAAAAAGGAAGAAGGTTGGAATTACAGCCCACACATCAAGTACATGCTTAAGTAGCTGCCAGTACACCAAGCATGCTGCCACTGCACTATACACTATAAAATAAATTCTCTTTCAAAATTTTTGGCTAGCCACTGATTTAATGCTAGTAGTGCTGGGAGCAGAAAGCAAAATGAGTGCAAGAGGAAAACAGAGAGACTAAGAAGGTCTGAGCACAGCCTTCTATGGTTGTGGGATCTGGTAGACAGCACATGATGAACCTGCTTGCAAGTATCACAGGCTATGGCCGCTGGGGCTCTGAAACCTTCAGTGGGGATATCTGAGAAAGTCACGCTCCTTCCTGAGCCCTGTTACACCGTGGTAAAGCTCCTCCTCACTTGAAATGATGCAGAATTGGGTCAACCTCACTCACTCGCTCTGATTAAAAACACAGGCTGCATTTTAAGAGGGACGATACCTCATCACTGCTCCATCTGTTGGGAAACGAAGGGCGTAGTCTCTTGATGCACACAATCTCACGCATGTCCTCGTATGAGGGGTCGCTGGGCACAAGGTCATGGTATGGAAGCTGGTATTCCTCAACTATTCCTGAAAGAAGCAATTAGTTGCCCATCACTTGCAGAAGACACCTTCTGCTACCCTTTTCCTCTCTCATTTTATAACACATTGACCATACTGTTTAACAATTAGATGTACTTCTCCTTAAAAGGACTTCCCTGCCCTAAAAGTTTGCTTCACAGTCAAGTTCCAATGTAACCATTGCCATGTAAAGACTGGCCAGGTATCTTAATCCGAAAGCGTAGTTACTTGCCAAGTGAGACAGCTTCTACCACTGCTGTCCAGTCCAGCGATCTCCAGTAAGTTATCACAGAAAGAACTATTAGCACAGGGCCCATATCAGAGTAATCTGGCAGAGAAATAACCCTGAATTAGGTCTCCTTTTTATCAGTGGACCTGGTAGATATTAAAGGACATTTCTGTGCCTTTTCAGAACATGGCAAGGTACCATTCTTTGTGCAGAGCAATGATGACAATATTACAGATTTTACATCGTATCATTGCAATACACTTTACCAGTCTGTAAACACAGGGATCACATTGCTCATCAGTGAAATTCATCTTCTCTAGGGTAAGCATGGAGCCAGCATTCAGCACAAGACTGCAGGCTTTAAAGACCCATAAAGTCTGGTGAACGTAGTGTAGACCCAAAAGAGACATGCTCTACTCCTGCTTGCCACCAATCTGGCACGTAAACGCTGCCAAGTCGTTTCTCTGCATTTAACTTTCCTCAGTGGCAAAATAGAGGTAATAACACCCATCATTTCTGCACCACGCTGAGCTCTATGTGCAGAAAGCACATAGGCTAAGTGTACAGGGATGGATCTATGCCCCGAGTCTGCAGCTGGCTGCATTGCTTTATTTTGGCCGTCCTCATGCTTGAATGCCTGATATCAGAAGGAAATGAGGCACATCACTGGTATGACAACGATGTAATAAGTGCCACTTCCCTCTGTTTATTTTTTTTTTACTTGTCTTGTAAACAGATTATTTATTTTAAATAGTGCCACTGCATACTCCCAAACTGTTTGTCCTCCTCCTCCTATTTAACAAAACAGAGAAATCACTATTTCTTTCTGCTAAAATAGCTGAATACCCCCAGTCCAGCAAAAATGTGTTGTCATTGCAAAAGGCCCCCAAATGAGTTCCATATTCCTTCTTCAGTGCAGGCATCCACTGCCTTCAAATGACCCATTAAAATACAGTCTAAGTCTTTGCTGTTGAAATAGCACTGACTGATGCTTTAAAATAAGTTTCAACAAGAGAACAGGTATTAGGAGAGTTACCTGTATGGTTTATCCACATTTGTTTATTACAGTGAAAACAATTACCCAGAGAAAAGGATGGTAATGGAAGATTTGGGTTATAAATGGGGTTCACTGACACAATTAAAAGCAATCTCCCAGCTCTTTACCTCCTGAAACACATCTCCTTGCTATCTCCCAAAGGATGAGTCCAAAACTGTACATATCAGCCATGATGTACGACTGAAAGTGATTTCTATTCAAGCTTTCATCCAGCACCTCAGGAGGCATATAGCGTTTTGTTCCTACGCGGGTATTTGGAGGTATGTCTACCTCATTTGTATCACTAAAAGAAAAAGAAGGGGGGAAAAAAGGGCATCAAACATGCAATAAAGTGGCTGGAAAAGAAAGCAATTTAGATGGGAGAAGTAGTAAATTCACACCACATCCACTCTCAAACAAGGTCAAAAGTAATGCATAATCTTAATGGAACAATTCTTACAAGGAAAGCTCCTTAGTGTGAAGGCAACCCTCCTTAAAAGGCTGACCTGCCTGAGGCTACGTTAAGCATTCAAATGCAGAACCACAATGAAGATAAGACTCAACAGGGATGCTGTAACATTTGTGAGATTTCATTAGCATTAGCCTGAGCTCTAATGCTGGTGATAACAATCAAATCTTCATTAAATGCTGCTTCTCTTAACGTACTCCACCACCTAATGCTTTAGTCTTAGCAATTAATGGAGGACACTAAATAGCTGGGGCAATATCACTTAGCTGTAGCAAATCAGATCTGCAAGGAAGAAGAGTCTAACTATTTTTTGTGCATATTTTATGTTTGATCTCTCCCAACTTTTACACATCAAGATATGTAAACACAGAGACGTGAACGTGTCAGAAAATCTAACCAAACGTGTCACACCTCACACATTGACGAGAAGAGACAACACGTATCTAGCAGGAAGCAAATTTCCATTAAGTATGTGACTGGATTTTTTTTTTCCTTATTAACTCAGATTCAGCTGTATCAGTTTTAATGTTTTTAAAAGTTTAATATACGGCATATATGGTGGTTTGGTTAAAAAGGTCTGCTTCCCTTTCCCCACCTTCAAAACGTACATATTTTAAATGTGATGGATACAACAAAATTATAGAACAACTTCTGTAATTTTCTTCACCTACAGCCATTTTGTTCACCTACTGTTATGAAAGTGACAAAAAAAGCTGAGTCTGAGGTACAACCAGTCACCTACACAGTCATTAAATCATACATATGCTGGTGCCATTTCTGTATACCTCCAAGACTGTAACATAAATCTAGTGACCTGCACCGTCTTGCAATATTTTGAATAAAATGAGAAATGCAGAGAACTTCACTAAACTCATTAGCTTCAGCAGAGCACACCCCTTTCAACTGTTTTTTTCTGTTCCTGGTCATTGCCTGAGAAATGCTGTCTAAGGAAGGATGCAGTATGAAAACAAGCCGAGTATGTAATGTAAATTCCATTTGGACTGTGACAAATACATATTTCACCTTCTTTTACAGCAACACTTGGTAGTTCCCAGTTCTTCTCGGTTCACACCTAAGCAGCGTGCTGCTCTGTACTTGTCAGGCAAGGTATACCTGCAAAGGGTGAATTTCTTCCTCAAAACTTTTACAGCAAATAGTGTATTTCCAAGTTGTTGTTTTCTAGGCCCCTGTTCCTCAAAGTAAAAATATTCCTTTCTCATCTTCTAAAGAAAGGTCAGGTTCATAAAGGAAAAGCCTCACCAAGAAACCTGGTAGGTAAGTGAATGGTGAGAAAAGCACATAAAAACTGCCTTTCCTTACACTCTGAATAATTTCAGTTCAAGATTTGTACAGCATTCTTAACATTTCTTTTGAAACTTCAGGGAGCCCACAGTTTCAAAGCTGACCTCTGAAACCGAAACCTTCAGTCTACGGCCACATTTCTGTGCACAGAAAAATCAGAGCCTTCCTAACAGACGTCTCCACCAGCAGGACCAGTGCCGAGAGCTCAGGCTCCTTTAGAACAGAGCTGTCAGACAGCAATGACTCCTTTACGAATCCCAGGAGTGTGTAAGTCCTACTTGTCTGCTCTTTCTAAGTTGTTTAAACACACAACCATTTTTTTAAAATCAAATTTAAAAGCCATTTCAAAAATCAAATCTGTACTTCGGCAATTTGATTTGTAGGACATGAAACACAAGGCAGCCCAAATGGGGTGCTTTTCAATAAATCACAATCAGTAACTTGTGCAAATGATTAGTATTATTCTATATAAGTTGTGAGTTATCGTGGGATCAGACAAGCTGAAAGCTTCAGTGACAAGTTTACTGACATGACTCCGACCTGTCAGTGCTATGTCCTTTTAGCATGTGGTAGCAACACTCAGTTTGCTATTGAGCGTGAAGTGATGAAAACTGAACCTTTATGCAAATGCGACTAATGTGCTCAATAATTAAAACCTGACTATTTATACACCTGCATTACATGTTTATGTGACATCTTTATCTACACAGGCAGCCCCACCTCACATACAGACGAGCACAGCGCGAACGGTATGCACATACGCTGCAGGTGCCTTCATGTTGCTCAATGAACAACTGAACCAGCATTTCCATCTGATTTACCAACTTTCCCTCGCTCCCCTCACTTCTACTCACCTGATAAATTTAACAGCCAAGCCCAAATCTGCTATACAGCAGGTGCCGTTCTTTTTCACTAGGATATTCTTACTTTTTAGGTCACGGTGGGCAATAGCAGGTTTGCCCTGAGTACTGAAGATCTCAGTGTGCAGGTGGCACAAGCCACTGACGGAGGAGTAAGCCAGTTTTAGCATGGCTTTTGTGTCCAAGGTAGTAGATTTTAGATAATCATAAAGTGAGCCGTTCTCATGGTAGTCGGTGATGAGATACAGCTGGGTCCAAGATCCTGTACCTTTAATGTCTGCGGCAATGAATCCTGAAAAAAAAAAAAAAAATATTTTCAAATTAATACTTCTCAGGGCTTTTTTTGACTGCTCAGAACTCTGGACTGTCAGCCACTTCAATAGTTTTATTTTAATAACATATTTAATTTCTTTTATCTTACTTCCATGTAGCTATGCCTCACCTCTAGCCTTTAACATATTTTCAGAAAGCCCAGATATGGAAATACAGGTGGCAGAAACAGATGTGTGGTGTTTGGAGTAACAGCCCCCAAACTCCGTTATTTTTAAACTTTTATTTATCTTTCAGTAATCCTTGAAACATCTTTCTTTTGAAAAGTGCTGGGTGGGTACTTGCGAAGTACAGCAGGTAACAAAGCAGATCAAGCATCAGACAACAGCAAATACAAAATTATTAAACTTAAGAAACTTGTACACTATCAAATAATTCTCTTTAATTTCACTCACCAAGAATATTTTCATGCCTCATCAGGACAGTCTGGTAGATTTCTGTTTCTCTGAACCAGCTGGCCTCCTCTGTGGTAAAAAACACTTTCACGGCTACCTTTTCGCCACGCCACTTTCCCATCCAGACTTCTCCATAGCGACCTTTTCCAATCTGCTTTACCATCTGAATCTGTTTTGCGATGGTCCTTTGAACCTGTGAAATGCCGACATGGGCAGTTACAACTTGTTCTCCAGAAACCGTCTGCATTCACCTCCCTCCTCCTGCGTCTCCTTCCCATGCAGGAAGCCCACTGGAAAGAGGAATATGCAGCCGTTGCAACGTGGATATCAGCAAAGCTCCACAACGCGGATGCTCCCCGTTTCCCCCAGGATGCAGCGCTGGTAAGGCCATTCCTGCCACTGTGAAGAAGCCTTTCCGTACATTCCCAAAACACACCGTGGCCTTTCAAGAAAGTAAACAGGTCTGGGTGAAGGAAACATTTGACTACTAACCTTGAAATTTTTATTTTCCTGTGAGAGGTCGCCACTTTGTGGAAATTTTTTTGTTATTTTTGGAAAAGTTTTGACTCCTGGCCACCCCAACCCAAACCAAATTCCAAAGGGGCAGGTAACACACTTTTAATTAAAACGGGGATGTTTGTTACATACTCAACACCACTGAGACTCAAGGCTAGGGCTCACAAGAGCCAAAAGCCTATCAGCGCTACACAACTAGCAAAATTACTGAGAGCAGCTTCCTATCCTTGAAAATCCCACGCCTAATAATTTCAAAATATAAATTTGGTGTTAGGAACCTCAACCACTACTTAAACAGTTAGAAACCACATGCCTACATAAATTTTAATAATCATCATTACTTAGTAATAAAAAGTAAGATTTTTTTTTTTTTTCCAAAGATATGGAAGCACAGCTTTAAATCTGCCCTTTCTAGTGTCTGTACCAGCTTTGTCAGTGGCTGTACTGTGAACTGACGCTAAAGTCAAACCATTTGTGCAGCTGTAGCGTAAGATCAATGTACTCGGCAGCACTGCAGAGATACCCTTCATAAGGATGGCAGACCCCACATAGCAGATGGACTGATTCTACATTTAACAAGCTTTTATGACCACAAAAAACCTTGGACAAATGGAGACTAATATATTCTCATAGGACTGGAGCATGCCTGCGGATCACGTATTTCTAAAAGTTCACAAATAAAAACTCAAGTAGATGCTGCAACACAACCCACTGGTGTTCATGGTTGACTCAGCCTCACCCTAGTCTAACAGCAGAATAAAATGTCACCCTCTTGTGCTTCAGTATTGCCCGTTCAATTCACAGCTAATGATTTTTGGTTTGGTAGGATTTTACAAGAATTTGGAAGAAAATACCTTTATAGCCTCCAATGCAAGGAGTCTTTCAGCTGGCCCAAGCAACTGGCAAAACCTGGACAAGTGGAAATTCGACGTCTCTCGGTTTTGCCACCATCCCTATACAAATTTCAAGCAGTCTATTGCAGCAAGTATGCACTGTCTGAATGCCTACGATATGCATTTCATATATCATATGCATTTCATATATCATATGCGTTTCAACTCATACGCATTTCATGTAATCCCAAATAGTTTTTGCAATCTTGGCTGACAGAAATGATCAAAACTTGATTTTAAAATAATTTGCTTCCTTTGTTATCTCTGGGAAGTTCAGTGGAAACTACCAGTTTGGTAACGCAGAGCAGGACTGCCACAACCCCACTGCAGCATGAGTGATGTCCAAAGTAGAACTCAAAACCTATTAGGGAAGGTCTATTATCATTTATTTTGTACATAAATTACTGGTTTTCATATTAGATAATTTAAAGAAGAAAAACATACAGTGGCATTTATGCAAAGCTATTTCAAAAGTCCCAGCTTGCTGCTTCTGTCATTTAAACAGAATTCCATTTTTTCAGCCCTGCAATGTATTATTAGACTTCCAAGATGGTGGCTTCAGTGCCATTATTTTTGATTAACATCAGTGAAAGCCAAGAACAGAGATTAGCCTTAATTTTTTAAATTGATTTATTCTCTTTTGTGCTCTCATATAGTGATTGAACAATAGTTACATTACATTGGAATTTTGCTGTAACATTTCGTAATGTCATTTTAGCATTGTTGCTTTCTATTTTGCCCATTTTAAAAATGCATCCTGAACAATAATGCAGTTATATCAAATAACTTAATTTGTGTAAATATATGTAATGGCATCATAAAGTACATGGAATTACAATACTTAATGATGAAAAGTTCCTTATTAAATTACATTAAGAAAATGAAAAACACATTTCTGTTATGGGTTTTCAGGTGGCAGAATACTATGTGAAGGGCCTTAACCTGGTTTCCTCTTGCTAGAACTGGTCAAATGATTTCCTATGAACAATTTATTTTATTTTAAGGAATTTAGCCCTTTCTTGAATCATAAACTGATTACCATTTCTAAAACAAATTGGTTAATCAAAATTGTTGGATGAACTGATTTCATAAGCATGCTGAATGATGTGTTCATGTGCATTATTTACACTGAGTGGGGTTGGGGTTTTTTCTATTTCTTTTCAAATCTGTATATTTTGCTGCTTGAGCTCTGTGAGCAGCCAGGTAAGGTTACATTGCCCTTTGTTTCCTCTCCCTGACTGGAATCAATCCAGTTGCCAACTATTTCTACTTCCTGCATTCTATTTTTCTGATGTTCAGCTAAACATGTTCAGGTACTGCAGATGAAAATTCAGACAAGCCATCCTTTTGTAACTTCAATATTTTGAACAGAGAACTTCGTACCTATGGCTGGGACGCGTTCCCTTGAAAAGCAAAATTCATTAAAAGAGGAATTAGGAAAAAAATACATGAAAAAAGAGAGACAAAACTGTAATTCAGCAAACTCTTCATACAGACCACTGAAATAAATGTCCCCAGAGTCTAATCTCCTTCCCTGATTTTGCATGTGGATTCACGAGGGCAACAGCATCGTCTACACTTCTTGCTCTGTCAAGGCCAATGGGGTTCTCCTTGCTTACACAGACTTGATTGTGCACCCCAGTTTGTTGGCTCAAAGCCTTTATTTACAACTTACTGTATTTGTTTCTTGATTTAAACTTTGATTGGCAGCATTTGACCTGCCAGACTTTTGACTTTTCTGTCAGAGGTATGAACAGGTCAGGAGAAAGAATGCTTGCTAAATGTCAAAGTATTGATAAAAGCTTGGTTAATGCTTGGTTTTGGTATAATATTTGTACCCATTAGAATACATGTTCTGCACAGAAGGAAACCATTACTGTTTAGCATGAAGTGACATTTTGTAATAAACTCGCGGCCTACTTTCCTGAAATAATAACTTTGGATGTTTCAGTCTTTGCGTAAGAAATAACACAGTTAAAAACAAACTCTTCCACAATAAAGTCTAGAGCATTATTGCCAGGCATTTTCTATATACTTGTTCCAGGCACAGGCCCAGAGGTATTAATCTGTGCATTTCTAGTGAGCCTGTAGTGGTTGTAGCTGTCTGGGAAATACAGCAAACATCTATTACCAAGTGCAAGATTCATTACAGCTCTCATGTTTCTTCTCTTCCACAGAAAATTACTACTTTAAGGGGAAGTCTGGGGAAAAAATGCATGGATTTTCATAGGCAAAGAGAGAGTGGAAAAGAGTGCCCTCAGGAAGAACACGTGGTCCAGTGGCTGCAAAGTCTCCAGGCTTGAGAGGAGGGAGGAGGACTGGCAGAAGACAGGATGGTTTCTGTTTCATGGAGCACCGGCACAGCTCCGAGAGCTCCTGAGCAACGACCCAGTTGGGTGCCACTTCGGCCATTACAGCAGTTAATTAGCAGAAGTTAGTTTTTCTGTCCACCGCAAGAGTAGACCTGGGGACACCAGTAAGACCACAGATCCCATCTTCAACCAGCTCAACCAGACAGGGGAAGGCATAAAGCACAAGCGTTGCTCCAGCTTTTTTGTCTCAAGGGCATCCTGGGATGAAGTATCAAGCCATGCACTGCTACAAGATGCCCCAGGGTACCTGCTACCCATGTGGGCTGCTGGAAACACATCCTCTCAGAGAAGAACAACCAAGTTCCTTGTGTTTGCTCTAAATTATTATATTATTTCTGTTCACTGTAGCAGGTAGGAGCACCAAGCACAGACCAAGACCTTGATGTGGCAGGTTTTATGCAAAAAAACGAAGCAAGAAAACAAAGCAAAAAAAGCAAGAACCCCTCACAATTAAATCAATTGGAAGCACTCATTAGGAATGGTCCTAAATTGTAAGCATGATCCCTGCCTTTCCATGCCTGCTAGAGGGACATTGGTATGGGATACGACAGAGCTTTCTTAAAGCCTAGACCTAAATGATGGAGTTTCTCTCAACAGAGAAAAATGACCGTGGGTTTTCCATGCTCAGCACCAGTCACAGCATCCACTTGGCAGCTTGGCTTTTTCCTCAATAGCTATGTTAATTGTCAGAAAATTGGATTTTTAAAAAAGTCAGCACTTTATTTAAATGGGACTCTAAGCACTTTACTCCTGCCAGAACAAATTGAGTTTAGTCAGATTTTTGCCAACCACTCAGCCTGTTGCTTCATTTTAAGGAATTATAAAACTTCTCATTTTATTTCTTCTCTAGGGTGTAGAAAAAAGATGTGTGGGCAAAAACCAGATAGATAGTATGTAGTACTTGGAAACTGGACAACATCTACAGTAATAGGATCACTACAAACTAATAGGTTTGGGAGACAGGAGGGACATATCATCTCTGAAAAACGAAAATGAAATCTAATTCATTTTCTCAGAGGCAGTATTTTAAATAAGTAACCTGGCTTTCCCCCCTCCCCCACCCCCCCTACTGTTAAAAAGCAATGATGACCCCCAGAAACAAAACCCCCTGGTGAACAGAACTGGTTTGCTGGGGCTAAACCACGACAGCCACAGAAGGTAAAACTTCTGCCTTTTCAGCAGGTGAGCCCAGGGGACTCGGGCATCCTGGAGTCAGTTCAGAAATAATCACAAACTCCATCCCTGTGACTTTAACCTTTGAGGTTGCCACACTACAAGGAAAAATAATTCGCTCTTGACTTCTGAATGCAAAGTGAAGTCTACACATAAAAAGGTTCCAGGTTTGATGAATTACAATTCCCTTTACATAAAGACAACATGTCAGTTTTTGAAATGCTATTGTGTGTTGCATGTAAAAAGCAAGAAAATAAGATCAGCGGGCCAGATGGTGTCCTGTACAGTGGGGTAAATCCTGATGAATTTCTGTGAGCTCTATTAGCCTGTACTTATCCTATGGTATCTAAAATAAGAAATGAGCTGAGGTAAAAAAAAACCCTAAGCTTTTTTGGCTTAGTCTACATGAAAAAAGTCTCCTGCTTCTAAAGCAGCTGTTCTCCAGCTTAAATCCTTGGCATTTCTGGGAGAGAAAAAAAATCCTAAACCAACAACTGAGGACACATAAATATAATTTCTTGTGCTTCATTTTGTCTTCTCCCTCTACTCATTTTTGCCTTTTAAACTTGCATTAAAATCATATTGCTTCCTTACCAGGAGAGGGAGCCCGGAGCCGCTCCCTGAGCTCTGGGACTGCTCGATCAAATCCTTCAGGGACTCTCCAGGGGGAATGTACGTCTCATCCTGCTCCAGCCCGATGCTGTAGCGGGGCCTCGTCTCTTGGCGTTTGTATCTGCCGTTTTACATGAAAGTGAAATTAGTTTTGAATACAATGAACACATGTGCAATAAATAATGCACACCATCCTTCACGTTTGCTTCCATTTATAGACTCACAGCTTCCTCTGCTTCCCTGAGGAATATGCTGGACTCACTGCCCAAAATTTTCTATTTTATTTTTAGCAACTGTTTTCCGCATCAAACCTCTACGTATAAAACTCTTAGACCGTGCAATATGGTGTAAGTTTTCAAAGCAATCAAATGTTTTTCTTTCAGAAACTTAAATATATTTAAAGCACAGACCAAGTAAATGCCCAGTTTTATTTTACTGACTGCAGTGGATCTTTTAGGAGCCAAAGGAGGTCAGGTCATGGGATCTGGGACTATTTAAAAACGTGACAAATTATTTAAACATAATGTATATAGACTGTGATAACATTCTAGACATATTTACTTACAGTCCTGTATCCTTCTCTTTTTTACGATCAGTTCTTCACCGCATAAACACATTTAGAAGCCTTAAGTTTATTTACCCTATATAAAATTTGTCCTGTGGCTTTCTTAGACTCTGTAAAGAATAATCTGTGCTTCTACCTGAATGGCTTTTTAGGATGTTGGGCAAAAGATGCTATATGAAATACAGCACACAGGTATACCTGTGACTAGCATGAATAAAATACACATTTTATACACACTCATCATAAAATTACAGTTTCTCATGTCTTTTCCTTAAGGTCCACTTCAATTTTTTCAAATTCCTAAGTCTATACAAAGATAAATGTTAGGAGGAACAATTGATAAGCTGGTAAAGTATTCCTTATTTACCTGAAGTAGCAGAATATGATGATAAGCACCAGAAGTATACTGCAAACTGTCACCGAGATCAGCAGGGCCTTATGGTGAATGTTTCCTTCAGCAAAGTCTGGGGTTAAAAACAAGGAAGGTGGAAAATTTGGAAAGGGAGGTGGTACAAAGTCAGCATCAAAAGACACACACGCCTTAATAAGTACAGCGAGCACACGATGGTTTCCTTTCTCTTCTACTGAAGTCCTGTGCAAGATACCCCTGGATTCCCCGGGCATTTTTGTGCGCTTCCTCTTTGACCTCACTGACCAGGGCAGAACCGGTACCTCCAAAAGCCTGTATGATTTTTCAGCCCTCACTCAGGCAAAATATCGCCTTGACTTGCAATTCCCCGTTTGGCTCTGAATGAAAAATCATTTAAGACCCGTAGCTGTGTGTCTTAACCTATGTGATCAGCTAGGACATACAAAAATTACTACCTCTACCTTGAATCACTCTTATTAAGTAGCATCCTATTGGGCAGTTAATATATAAAAAAGAAAAGAATAATTGCATTTATCCTAGGAGGGAAGACACAGCAGACCATGCAACTCCCAAGAAGGCAGGCCACGAGAGGCATGGAAAATATATTTCCAACACTGCAGAATAATCTGTCTCTCGGATCCCGTTTTAAACACCTGAGCAAGAATTTTCTTCTCCATTCACTCTATAGCAGCCCTGTGTGCCAGCAAGTTGGTCCTGCGCTGGTGGGCAAAACTATCCTTCCAGCAGCTATTCTGTAAAACACTTTGAAAAGTAAATGCGTCAACTTGTAGAAAATGCCATTATGTAAAAACTATTAAAACGTTTCAGTCATTCTTTGCATGGCAGACTCATACTCTCCTTTAAAGTATACCATTAATCTCCAAATTTGTATTCTCAACTCAGGCAAGCGAGCCTGACCTTCATGCATGCTCCCCTGCTGAGAAACAAAGAAACTTAGCACTGTTCTTCTTTAGCCTCCCTCGCCCTGCAAAGTCTCAAAATTATGGTATTTCAGCATGCAGACACACACACCACCCACCCAAGGTTGCTATCTGGTATAACGCAAATGAGGACCATGTTTTCTGAAGCTCTCCCAGCCTCGCTGTCTTGCATCTTTCACACTAATGCCGAACACATCGTAAAATGCAAGAAATCTATCCGTATCGACTCATCCTGGAACGGCGCTATTACGTTTCAGATTTACAAGGGTAATGAGACAAGGAGATTCCTAAGGGACTCTTGGTTTACTGTCAGGCTCTTTTATTTTAAAGATCCAGCTTCTCCTTCTGTTTTTGTCCCCAAACTGTTTCGTTCCTTCCCCTTTCCACTACAAACAGAGATTACCTACTAACACACCTTTTGATCACACTGGTCATGTTTTAGTCTGCCATTACCTGCTCCGGGAGCATTAACAATGTAAACATTCAAGACACAGCCGATGCCTTTGAAAGGGGACACTGACACGATGTCTATCAGGAAAACACTGGAGCCCGTCATTCTCCCTGCTGCAGCAGATTTCTACCTGGCCTGCCACTCCAACTGGGCTGTGAGCCGAAACCGAGAGCCCACCGGGGAATTCAGACCTCTCTCGCGAAGGCGATGGCTGCTGGGCAGGGCTAAGGGCTCTGCTCCACGCTTTGTACGCAGCCCGTGTCGGCCAGCCATCTCCCTCTAAAATGTGTGGTTTGTAACAGTTTTAAGATGTCGCAGCCCATCAGCTGAGGAGAGGATAAACAGAGCACGCAGACCATATAGTGGGATTTTATACTTGGGAGAAACCCAGTTAACTGTCCACCGCAAGGGTTTTCCCACTTCACAGAATATGCCACGATGGAAGTTAGGCTTTTGTGCTTAGCAGTAATGAAGGCTGATGTCAGACGCAGCGAGCGCAATTCAGATCTTGCTCCTGCTTGTGTGTGCTGGACATTACAGCCATGGAAGTCTCCGCATTTACACAGACACAAAGTGTTGCCCTATCAGAACTTGTAAAGCACCCACACTGTTCATGCTGCCTGTGTGTGTCTGAGTACGTACATTTGGGAGAAGGATGATAAATATGCTGAAATCTTGAATCAAATTCCAATCATTTTTAGGGTTTAAATGATCCAAAGCCCGTGCTTGATGTTTCTAATGGGCTTCTCTAGAAACATTCAAGGTCAGGTTGGACGGGGCTCTGAGCAACCTGATCTGGTTAAAGCTGTCCCTGCTCACTGCAGGGGGGTTGGGCAGGATGACCTCTAAAGGTCCCTTCCAACCCAAAGCATTCTATGATTCTATGATTCTCCCATTCAGAAAAGTAAATAAACGCAGCATGATTTTCCCAGAGGCCAGAAGGCATTTGGAAGCGCTGTGTAGCTCTCAAACAACCTTCAGACTCCAATACTGCAAAATTTTTTGGTACATGAATGCAATTATGTGAAGCAAGCGCAAGGAAAGCACACAAGACATAAAGGAACACACCTTGATCTCCGTGCTGGGAGCTGCTGATGCAGACTGTAGCAGCAGCGATGCTTATGCTCTTGCGGTAGATGATGTCCCCCATGCTGATGAAGTCAGCTAACATAGCTTTAGTAGTGGCTCACTACACACAGCATGGGAATGCAACTGGCTCTCACAGGAGAGGAGAATAACTTCCATATGTCTTTATATTTATTTGGCTATATATGATGAGAGGCAATACCAACGGTAAGTGAGCTATTGTCTCACCTTTCAAATACTTCCTGCATTTTCAAAGCATTTTGGCAGAATTTCATTTGCTTGCTCACTTGAGGACTTCATAAACCCACTGGCGCGTGGACAACTCAAGATTAAAAGCATGCCCCCATTCTTATACCAGCAATGTCTGTTCTGCTGAACAGGGCCAGGCTGGCACTGCTGGAGACCAACTCTTCTCTCCTCCTACAGCCCATGCTGTTCCCCACAGAGCAGCAGGATAAACCTCCCTTTCCCTGCACCATTTTCGGCACCTCCTTCGCCAGGTGGAGGGATGGGGCAGCTCAGCTGTGAGTCCACTTAATCACTGGCTCATGGGCTCCATGATGGAGACTGTGGTACCAGTTGGTGCCAGTTTGCATGATGGAGATACTCTGTCCTTTCAGAAGTCCAGTACCGTGCTTTTTAGTGTTACTTGGCAACCACAACATGCCAAGCAACAGGGTTATGAGAATAAGCAGTAGCTTCCACAGAGGCAGCAGTGAGCGATTACCAGGAGCATGGTGCAGGGAACGCAGAACACACAGTAGGTTTGGGAAGCTTCTTCACATACCTCAGCTGGCTGATAATAGTGAAGCCCAGCAAACGGCACGTTAACAGCTTTATGTTGTATGAAAACAGCGGTGCGTGCTGGTGTCAGCGGTGAGCAGCACGGAAAGGGAGAGATGGCAACAAAAGGAGGGCCTTTCGTGATACCAAGCTGCCTCTCAGTTATTCTCCCGTGATTTCCCCCTCCTCCACCACTCATTCCCCTCACTGTGCCATCCACGGGACCGTGCTGAGGAGTGCATTGAAAATGCCACCCAGCAGGTTCAAGGGAGAAGTCAGCATATCAAAGGGAGAGGAGGTTCTCCTCCCTCCCCAGGTCCCTCCAGTTCACAATGTTACGGTTATCCGAGTAAAAACTGCAGTGAAATCTGAGGCGTGGAGACTGTGTGCACACATCAAACCCCATCATTCCTCCAATCATTCCCTTGCCCATTCATCACTAGCTCTACAGGCAGGGAGCCAGACACGGTGGCACCACCACTTCTGCTTATATAGGCTCTAAATCAGTAAAGACATATTTCTCCTTTTGACTGGTCTCAGCCTGCGCTTTCGCTGAGATTTCCAGGAATATCTTTTATTGTTTAAAGCAGAGGTGTTGTATCAGACCCAGTTATGACTCTGATTTCCTTAATAAGACAGATGTACAGCTGGAACGAGGACTTCATGGTTTCTCTGGGGTATTTTATCCTGCTAGTTCTGTACTAAGATGAGGTGAAAATTTAGGCTTAGCTTTTGTTTCTTCCATCTTGCTTAATAAGCCTTACTTTGACCGGTGTTAATTCTTTTAGCTCCCACTTCCATGTATGCGGTCCTCCTTTCTTTTCATGGAGGGGGAGTAAAACCCACTTCCCAGCACATGCCAGGTCTGGAAAAGCACTTTGAGAACACAAGTTGCTTTCCTTTGTAGACATTACCTTGGTGCATAGGTTAATTTGCAGTTCAACAACCTCTGACCTGCAGCTGGACGCTCTCCCTAGACTCTGTTTCCCATGAGATATGACTTCGGACGTAAGTTCATCAGAAGCCAAATTTCTGTTTGTTTTTTAAAAGCTGAGGAACATGCATATTTTTCATGGAATCCTGGAGGTCAGAAGGTTGTTCCTAGAAGCTTGTTTTTAAGTTAATCTTCTCTTTCTTTGTACTTACAGTTTATGTTAAATTTGATACACAATTCCAACAGTACTCAGTCAATCACAGCCTCATCTAAGTGGTCCCAATAGAAACGATGATCACAGCCATAGTACTGGGCACTGGCAATAGCATGTGTTTGTACACAGTATTTGTACCTGGCTGCAGTGAGGATCTACAGTTCAAACTATGGCTTTTCTCTGAGCTTTCATACTAGGATACAGCAACGACAAATTAAAACAGGCCTGGCACCAAGAACGACATATTTACTTAAGGCTTTAATAAAGGTGCTGACTTCAGGCCTGTCCAGCCACATTTAATGAAGCAGCTCCTGAAACATATTTCCACAATATACTACCAAGATACCAGTAGCGCGAGAACTTATTTCAAACAAAAGTCTTCGGAATGTGTTGAATGAATACATCGCCTTTTGTTTGTCATGATAAAATAGACAACTTTGTAACACAGAGCAGCTAGAATCCAACTCCATTAATTTTTTCTTTCAACAAATATTCTCTTTGCTATTTAATGGGTCTGCCACCACGGTGCCCAAGTGATGCTTTATTTACCCCATATACACACAGAGCAAAACCAGCATCGATACAAACAACCTCTCCCACTACCAAAAAAAAGCTTGTTTTATTGCTTGCTGTATAAGCAGCAGATAGTATTGCCAAATAACTAAAATCTTAATAAGGCAGATGTCTAGTGTTAGGCATTGGTTCAGTATTTTTAAGTAGTTTTAATGTAGAATAAACTCAGTCAGCAGCAAGAAGGAATCATGGCAGTGTTTTCCAAACTGAAATTATATTTATTGATATACTAAGTAAGTGTGAACAAATACTGACTTCCTTTTGGAGCTTCTCTCTCAGTCCAAAGAACTTTTTAAAATGAAAAAAAGAACAAAGTAGTACTGTAACTCTTATGTTGGAAGTCAGAATTTTATAAGGTTTCACTGACTTAATGGCTTGCTAGTAAACAGTGAAATATTTACATACTGCCCTCCATAGGCCTGATTCTGCAGCCCATCTGTGCAAAATTTCATAGGCGTGAAGGGAACAGCTTCCATGAGTGAAGGCTTTCTCTGAGCGTGCATTTGTGTAAGTATCTGTTGTTTGTGTAATTAAGAGTGCATCTGCACACTGGATTTTCAACTCAGAATGCCACAATTGCAAATTCTCCTGCAACCTTGAACTGACTCTCACAGACTAAACTCCATGCCGACCACCACAAATCTTGGCCATTGCTGCCAATGCCAAGAGTTTATCATGGATGAATTTACACTTACTTAGGAATACATTTCTATAAACTGTATTCTGCTACATCCAGCCAAAATAGTTTTACCAGCTTTCAGAAAGTGATGTTTAAACAAACAAAGCTAAAACCTTGCCCCAGAATCTAAGTTAATACATGTCCATTTGTTCTCAAATCACAAACAAAAAAAATAAATCAGTGCATGAGTTTTTACTCTACATTCTATTTTCAGCTACCTTTTTCAAGTAGGAAATCTGCTTTAGTGACTACTTATTGTCCTAGTGCTGGATTATCAAGTCTTTTAAACGAGAAAAGCTTAATGGACTTCAGTCAACTTGAACTGACTGATTAACCACTGGAGACCTGGTCCGAGATGTGTGTGGAGTTATGACCAACAGTAATGCGTGCTGCAGGGACTAGAAAGAGGATTCTATTTTATTATCAGGCTAAAAACATACACAGCAAGAAGCATCCTCTGCCACAAGTAACCTAAGTCTTTGGGATGATCACTGATAGCCAGCAGGTCTGTGCTAGGACAATACCATGCGACTAATGCATCTGGCGCTCACTGCGTGTATGCAGTAGGAATAATAGCAAGTATCAGCAGCCACGGGTCAAGGCACCGCTCCCCACATGACCTACAGGAATTCAGTGATACTGTTTAATGCAGTTTATCTCTCTAATCACGTGCAGGTGGAGGGGGGTGCTTTGGTTTTGGCTTTGTTTCTTCCTAAGGCACAAAGAGCAAGAGCAGGAAAAGATCAGTTTGGGACTGGATTTACTTCCTCTCACCTCGATTTTTCAGTGGTGGCAGCGTAGGGTGAAGGTGTTTGTTACAGTAATCTTGGCCGGTGCAACATTCAATAGATCTTCTTTGGTGTGGAATAGGAGTGTCCTGCAACAAACAATTTGATAGAAAGCAAAGTAAGTAATTATCTGTGTTGTAAATATACACCCTCATTCTGGCACTTGAAAGATGTGCTTGTTAGCCGGACTGCAGTCTGTTACAGACTTCTAGGATGTGTGGAGTAAGGATTTCTGCCACTGAGCATATCCAGCAACATTTCATCTAGATAATTAAGAGATTAATTCACCCCTAACATATTGCTGTTGGTGCCCTAGCGTTGCAGAAGGGACTGATTGACTCTAATGGTGCAAGACAGAACTGTGAAAGTCACATACATCCATCAGTTAGACTTATATTACAAAAATAACATGGGTATTCAAAACAGTTTAGCCAGAATAATACAGGAATTGCTGCATGGACTAATTTAGCTGCTGCTTCTGCTCTCATGGGAAGCCAGGTAAAATACCTTCCATGGGCCTTGATGGTTAGACTGACTCTTCCTGTACTCATGTAAAATCATTTAAGGTTAACATTAGGAAAGGCAAACACTTTAGAGTGACCTTGCTCCATTGCCCACACCCCTTCCACTCCTGCAGTGAGATTTGCTCTCCATCAGGTGATTGGGTTGGTAGACAGCCGGCTGAACATGAGCCAGCAGTGTGCCCAGGTGGCCAAGAAGGCCAACAGCATCCTGGCTCGTATCAGGAATAGTGTGGCCAGCAGGAGCAGGGAGGTGATTGTCCCCCTGTACTCAGCGCTGGTGAGGCCGCACCTGGAATACTGTGCCCAGTTTTGGGCCCTTCAGTACAAGAAAGACATTGAGGTGCTGGAACGTGTGCAGAGAAGGGCAACAAGGCTGGTGAAGGGTCTGGAGCACAGGCCTTATGAGGAGCAGCTGAGGGAACTGGGGTTATTTAGCCTGGAGAAGAGAAGGCTGAGGGGAGACCTTATTGCTCTCTACAGCTACCTGAAAGGAGGTTGTAGTGAGGTGGCTGTTGGTCTCTTCTCCCATGTAGTTAGCGATAGGACAAGAGGAAATGGGCTCAAGCTGCGCCAGGGGAGGTTTAGGTTGGAAATTAGGAGAAATTTCTTCACAGAAAGGGTGGTCAAGCATTGGAACAGGCTGCCCAGAGAGGTGGTGGAGTCACCATCCCTGGAAGTGTTCAAAAAACGGGTAGATACGGCACTTAGGGACATGGTTTAGTCTAGTCTACCCTTGATTGGTTTAGTGTGGACTTGGTAGTGTAGGTTAATGGTTGGACTGGATGATCTTAAAGGTCTTTTCCAACCTAAATGATTCTATGATTCTATGATCATTTTACTTGAAGGGAATTTCTGGCACCAGAAATCCAAAACCAAAATGCAACCGCATGTAAGACATAAGGGTTCCTGCAGTCCATCAAATAACATCCTAACTAACTTTAGCTACCATGGAGACCTCAGGAATTAGACTGCATTTCTCTAAATTCAAACTTCCTCTGAGCAGAAGTGTTACTAGTAACAGCAGGACCAAAACCAAAGTGTTGTTATTGTTAGGAGCAGCTATAATATCACCATTCAGGGATGTAAATGCACTTCCCTCAGCAATAAATGCGGAGCAACTATCTGCCAAATGAACAGAAGTTAAAAACATGGACATAGTAATGTCTGTTGACTGCACTTCAATTGAAAGCTATCAAAAGGCAATGCAACACACTGGCAGCAAATGCCTTCTTACCCGACACTGGAAATCCGAGCCCTCTAATCCAAGACATCCCTTGGTGACTAAATGTCCACCAGACTCATCTTCTTCTATTATGGTGAAACAGTAGCCATCAGTGCTGAGGATTGGAAAGAATGAGTCAGGAAAAGGCTTTGAAGTGAAAAACGTGCTGCTGAATAGAGTCTTAAACTTTGTTCCTTGCAAGGCAACTCTGCCGTTAACAAATCTATGTACTAAGGCAGTCTGGAAGACTCAGGCGCCCAAGGCAACCTCTCACAATGCAGTCCAACAGCCGACAGCACTGTAGACCAGCTCTTGCACACACGAAGAAGGCTCTGCCTTGGAGCTGACACACTTACCTTTGCAACATTTCACAGCTATAAAGCCCACTAACAAACATCTCAGTTCTCTGCCTATGGTCATTAGCATGTTAAGACTTTGGAGACCTATATAAATGCAAGCGTCAATGCTACAGCAGGTCTGCCTTGTGCATGGGAACAAGGCGTGGATATTTGCACCACAGTGGAGACCTGAAGAAAGAAACATTTTTGAGATACTAAACATAAAATATTACTAAGAGTGATTTGTGATTCCTGTTTTAACCATATTACAAACTGCAACACTCTCGTGTATGAGTCCTTGAGTTATCATCAACACCCTTCATAACTGTTTACTTGGGTTATAAGCCTAAAGTGATCCATAATGCTTCCGTTTACAAAAATGTGCACCAGGGAGGACAAGTATATTAACAGATGGCTAGATGGTGCTGGTGATATATGTCCTTCCTCGATGAAGGTCAAATGTCTGAATGGTATGGAAAGAGGGGGGGAGGGCATGAAAAGGGTGGCTGTATTTTACCAAGACTGCTGCACATTAATTTCTCAGCACTCTGAGGGAGATACATAACGTGTGTAGGAAACACAAATTGACTGATTTGCAGGAAGAGGATCCAAAAATAAAGAAAAAAATCTTTAATATAAGACATTTAAGTCACTTAAAAATAAAATATTCTGTTATTTCCCCAGGAAAATAACACTGGTTATTATGTGCAATGAGTATTTTTCAGAAGAGAAGGAACAAACTCAGTTAAAACAAGGAAATAAAAAGAAAAAAGGATTAGAAAATTTAAACACAGCAAAATTTCAGATGATTTGCTCCTTACTTGAATGAAAGGAGAGTCTAACACAGCAACAACAGCAAAGGCAATGAAGATGTAGGAAACAAGAGGCACAGTTACACATATAAGAGATAAACACAATTTGTAAGTATTAGCTACACAACAGAGAGACGCTGGATAGGATCATGTCAAACATTTGCTGTGGCATATTTTTATATTAGTGGTGCAGGGTCTAGCCACAGTAAGCTTATTACTTCAAATAATAATCTATCATGGGTTATTGACTTCTGGATTTGAAAAGTAACCGGTTGCACGTTACAAATTACTTTCTCAGAGAAGCGAGCGATAACTTCTACCCTTCCTTGACATTGCGCATACGAGTAAGGCAAAGGAGACAGCAACCCTTCTGGGCAACAACCACCTTGATTTCATTGCTTAAGCTTAAAAGATAGGAACAATAGGATTGCCAAGAAGAGAGACTGTAAGGAATCCATTAGAGTAGAATATTATATTAGATTAGATTTTATTTGTTTGCATGGTGCCTTTGATTCAAAGTAATGAGTAAGTTTAACCCAGGGGACGGAGCAACAAAACAATAAATTGCAATCAAGTGAAATACAAAAATGAACTCCACAGCTAACAGTCCCCAGCAAAAAACAAAACGCTCAGTTCACCAAAGGAAAGCAGGGGAAGGAAAAGTCAAATTGTGAAAGGGAAAAAAGAAGCAGGAAAGTTAGCAGTTTTATTTCTTTTTTCTTCTGACTTGCCATGGGACTCAGATTCTTAGCTCATTTCTGAAAATTAAATTCAGGCTCCTCAAGCACTTTAGTCCCTCTGAAAATTTTACTCCACATTTAAGAAGACAAACAAAATTAGATTGGATAGAGCAAAATGGAAAAGTTAAAAAGCTCCAACAATAAGGATAAATCATGTTCTTTACAGACAATGGTAGAATAATGAAGAAAAAGTATGAGACAATTAAAAATAGCAATGCTGAGCAAAATAAACATTGGTACCGCTTGTTTCTACTTCTAAGGGGGGAAAAAAAAAGTTTTCATGCAGTGTAAGAACTCATTATCTTATTGAAAATTTCTCAGGTGTTTGGGCAAGAAGTAGAAGTGACTGTTCTGAAAAGAAAGAAGTATCTCTTACCTGCTTCCCCCCTCCCACCCCTGACCTCTTCTCCTGGTTCACAGGATGTCAGATGGACCACACACTGCAAGTAAAGGGCAGAGCACACCCCTGCTGTTTTATTGATTAGCCTACCTCATACCTGCCTATGGTAGAAATGAAACTGTTGTTACTATTATAACAAGTCAGAAACAAGTCAGATAAGTCTGCACGGTCTCCCATTTTATGTTTATTTTGGTGACTGAACAAAGAGAAACATAGGTACATTGCTGATACATGGAAACTAATATGAAAAACCTATTCTCCACTCCTAGCAAAAATTTGTAGTATAGAATTATTATTTTATTAGACTCTGTAATTTGAATTCTGTGTAATTTGATTCTGCAAATGGTGTGTAAAGAAGGAACTCAACCTGATGATACTGAATACATCCAGGTACACATCCACTAACCTCCTCCACTAAAGCACCATATTAGAGTATGGTGCAGGGGAGCAATTAAATACGTTTTGGCTGTGATCACTAATAAGCGCAGATTTGGTATGTCACATGTTTGCCAAGAGTGAATTTTTACAGCCAAGTCAAGTGCCAGGAAAATAGAGGGAGTTAGTACCGGAAACACTGACAGACACTCATGTAGAAGGTGCTGCTACAATTACAGATTACCAGAAAGAAAGAGGTGATCTTAACCGAGACCTTTACTAAATGTCAGAAGAGAGGAACAGAGGCCAACGGCTTTGCAGCTGCTCACACAGATGTCCTCGCTGGCCAACAGCCATTTCTCACAGAAGATGCGGTGCCTCAGCTACCAAAACTTGACTGCTGAAGATTTCCTGTCGTGCACTCGGTGTGTGTGATGCAGCCAGGGATGGCAATATAGAACTTGGAAAAGCAACATTCTTCCCTCATTCAGCGCCAATCACAAACAGACGGGTTAAATAACTTGATGAAAAGATTCCTTATCTTTAATTTTATTTGAAATTGAGTCCATACGGGTATTACTATTTTTGTCCACTCTTCCTCTTTATACTCCTGGTTTTGATACCATAAAGAGCTACAGCATCTTTTCATTTCCACCCAAAGCAACACGACAAGTTTCTGCACTGTTTTTAAAAATTATCAAGAAATGCTAGATTATATTATGTACAGAAACTGGGAAGTTCATATTCTTCTGTAAAGACTGGCTGAAATAATCTAATTCAAAAACTGGCTGACTCCCAGTTTGCATCTAATTCATGTATTTTGTCGCATTCTTCACTTAAGAAAGATGTTGAAGGCCAAATTTAGCAAAAACTGTCTTTGGACACCATCCATAAAACAAAGAGTCACTGTAAATGTGTTCAACACAGGCTAGTTTTTCCGAAAAAATAATACAGTTAGCGGCTGTGCATCAGGTAAGTAACATGAAACCAACTGAGAAAAGCCAGATGCACCTTCAGATGTTTGCACAGCTACTCTGAAGGCAAGGAGAGACATACAGGTGTAACAAAGCAAAGAAGCGGGCTCACAGCAAGCCACGGTCTCTGGCCACACTAGTCTCCAAGATGGTGATGCTGGTCCTACCACACAGGCTCTGCTGTGTATGGTACCTTTTGGCTCTGTGGGTGCTCAGTGATGACCCTACACACAGAGAAAAAGGAGGGTACCCAACGCATCCTAGCAGAGCATCTTTTCATATATCATATATAGGTCTATCAATAGTTTCTCTATACTACTTGCCCATACTATTCTCCCAGGACCGAGACATGACCTGGCCTACCAAATGTGTCTTGCATTATTCTACTAAATCACAAATCAGATCAAACAGTTCTCCCTGACACGTGGGGTCACAACACAGAAAACAGGCCATTATGCCAATCTGTGAGGGAGAGCCCTAGAAACTGTCCAGGCTTCATGCTGAGTATATGAGATTTGACAGGTCTATAGACCTGACAGCACAACTTGGGGTATGGCAAAAGCACCAAGCATGGGTACCTCTGCATTTTCACCAGGGCTCTCTAGCACCTTTCACTTATGTGCAAAATCCATCTCGGTAGATGTGAGAACTATCAAGAAACAAATAGCCAAAATAAAGCTACTCAAGCTTCCTCTTTTCCTTTTCCCTTTTCTTTTAGTCCTTTCGTCTCCAAAATTTAAACACAGACCAAATGTTTTCTTTTACTTGACCTTAAGATTACACTGCAGTTTAATTTATATGATGTAGCTTCTCCTTTAATGCTAGGGCAGACTTAACATGGATATTTACTGTTTTAGAAATTCTTTTGGTACAAGTAAATTCAATATGTAAGGGAAGTCTTAGGTATTCCAGCACTTTCTGCACAGTAACACCAAAGTACTCCCACACGCTAAAAAACTATCCGAGAGTAATGCAACACATCTCAATACAGGGAGACTGGACTTGCACCACTATTTAGCTTAAGGTTTATATTAAATAACTAATGGGCAAGCCCTGAACAAAACTAAGACCAAGGAATTTCTGGGGCACAGCTGAAAAGCATGGGAGGGGGACTTTGCATTTCAGTTTAAACACTTGGGGCAAAGTCACCTGCTGAGCCATGTATGATACTTACGGCCCTGGCAGAGGGGGCAAGGAAAGTCTGGAGCTTGCAAGAATTTGTCTCTGTTGACCTTTGGTTTTTTGTTTTAATCATCAAAGGGGACTTAACCGCCTCTGGTACAGCCCTGTATGAAGGATTACATTAAAAAATTAAAATAAACATTAAAAAAATTGAAAGGCTAATTTGTAAGATCTCACCATAGCTCTTTTATCAGAAAATGTTCAACTTTACCCTAAAAATTAAAGTTGCTTAAAAGAAAAGTTGCCTGAACTCATTGCTTTGGCCAACTGTTGAAGTCTTCTTCCTTCTACGTACCAAAGTACAAAGAAAATTCAATCCTATCATCTGGAGAACAGGAGAATGAAAATAACATCACTCAAGTGAATTATCACCTCTGGTAACACTGAAAAAGCACTTAATTATTTTATTGCTTTAGATAACCAGAGCTACCTCAAGACACAGTTGGGCAGAAACACAATCAAGACCAGTGGGTAACACGTAAGAAATTAAACTCTATCAGCCCAATCTTTAAAACTGTCAGCATTTATTTGTGACTGGAAAATAGAGTACAACAAGGCACCTAATCAGCCTGTGCCTTTACTGCAATCCCATTACAGTCAAAGCCAATTAAATCTAACACTACTTTTTAAAATATGCAATTAATTATGATTAGACACAACTGCCCATGCATTCACTTTGTACACATAACACTTGAAACGGAACAGTAAAACAAGGTCCTGGTTGTGTTCAAAGCAGCTTTGAGCTTCTTTACTGAAAGCCTTTTATGAATTGCACAGATGTTCAGAAAGAAGAATAAAGTTTCAACACACTGCAGGTTAACACACCCTTTACAAGCAGAGGATTGCGAACCTTCTGCAAAGATCTTAATTGTCAGGGTCCTGAGTGCACTAATGAGCTTCAATTGCCCGGAGTGCCCCCCCGCCCCATCTGGGACCCTCCCAACCCATACACACCCCCTGCCCAGAGGCTCCATTTAAGCTCAGGTCTGAGCATCAAACCCCCTCTCTGAGAGATGGTACAGGAGTGCCTGTCTCCAGCCCCATCTCCTGCCTAGAACCACATCACTACTAGCCATGTGGAGGGTTACTGAGGTGCGCCATCTCTGCCTGCTGTGCTCAGGTACCCTTGGGGAAATGGGGTCCTGGTGTGTGAGGATATGGCTGGCCCTAGCATCACCCTCAGCTCTTGGCTGGGCCCCCTCTCACTGCTCCCCGACACTAACCCTCTCTTGACGAGATGACTCTGTAATAGCTCTTCTAAAACTTGTTGTGCTTGTGGATTGCCCCATTTTTTAAAGCACAGTCTAACTAGAGCCGCTGCTTTTCTGTTCATATAGAAAGCAATCTGCATTTTAAGCTGCAGTGTTATCCTTAGCTCCCTAAAGTATTATTGGACTTAAGCTGCGGAAGTATAAAGAAAGTATAAAGAAATTCTGTATAGGAACACAGCAGTCTGTTAGAGGATTTGATACAGATGTGGTTAAAGAATATTGACTTTTAAATTTCTAAAAATACAATTATAGAGAGGATTTTAAATGGCCACCAGATGTCCACATTTTTATATAAACGTTCAGACTACTGGTACTACAGGCGGGGTCTATACTTTAATAGATAAATACCTGTGGTAGCAGACCAAAATCTTCAGGTGGAATGGCAGACTGCTTTTTATGAGACATTTTTAACAGTGATTGCGATAGGACTAGCTATTTTATTCTAAGAGTTTTAATTTAAATACAGCTGGAAACACTTTCCTATTGAACTTCCACAGCCCTCCTTGCTCCTGGGCACACAAAAGGCTTCTCTGCTTTGGTGAGAGCCCCAGTAGGGACAGTGCCTGATGCTCTCCAGAGCCCACACCCTAGCTATTGATGTGCTCAGTGAATTTCCCAGGTGTCAGGGCTTTGCCAGGCCCTTGGGTGCCCCAACACACCCTGGCTTGTCCCTCCAGGGCTGGCAGATCCAAGCACAGCCCAAAGCTTAACATACTGATAGAGCTGACAAGAGGTTTATTTTTTTTTTTTTAAATACAATATGTAAAAGGCTTTTAGTGGCTACATCTGAGGGAAGCAGATAATTAATGCAATAACTTTTAATCTGGAGCCGTTAATTTATTCTTCAGACAAACACAGTGTGATCGATACTGCTTGAACTTCAATATGGGGAAACTTCCTTTATAGTGAGGTTCAATGAGAATTCCTGAGTGCTTTAAAACTGTGCCAACACTTGTTCAGGCTAGGATGAAATATTAAAGTTACTGCCTGACTAGTAGGATGATCCCAAAACACTGGGGAAATGAATAATCCCTGCTAACCTGGTTAGTCTTGGTCAAATCTTTTGA